AGCTGCTAGGACTGTGGAGGAGCCTGGAAGCCTAAGAACTTGACTGCTCAGTTTCCAACTCTGGATCAGAATACAAAAGCAACCAGTAGAATTTGGGTGCATTTGATTTCCCTCTCAAGTCTCCAGCCTCATCAGCATGATCTAGTGGGGGCAAGGAGGGAGAAGAAGAAGAAAAAAGACAAAAACCCTCCTTCCTTGTTTTTCAAGGAAAACAAAATCCAGAGAAATGTGCAAGATCCGAGAAGTCAAGATGCATTCAAGATACTTCACCCCACAGAGAAACTCCCACTTTTTAGAATCACAGACTTGGAGTGGTTTGAGTTGGAAGGGACACAAAAGGCCATCCAGTGCAGCTCCCCTGCAGTGAACAGGGACGCCTAGAGCTCCATCAGGCTGCTCAGAAAAGAAACACACATAAAAGAAAATTCAATTGCTAATTCTAGCTTAGAGGAGAGAGGGATTTTCTCTCTCTCTTCTTTAAAATTTTTAGTTTTAAAGAAGAAAGCGGGATAAATGACTTCAGCTGAGCTGCAGAAGGCAGTTTGCAAAGCCATTTCAGGCTGCCCTTGTCCTCCAAGTCTCTGGAGCCAAATTCGTATGCAAGAGAACATGGAGAGAACATAACACAAAGTCCTCTCTTGTGAGCTGTATATTCATCTCATGCAGCCAAGAGGAGAAACAAATCTTACCCTGAAACACAACACTCTCCTTCATTAGCAACTGATGTGGGAAGAGAGTCCCAGATGAACTGGAGGAGCCACACTCCTGAAAGGACCATGCAGACAAATCAGATGGGGACTGAGGCGGGTAAGTGGGGAAAGAGAGGTCCAGAGGCAGAAACTAACTCTTATCTGGGGTAGAAGGTGAAGATGCCAGCTCTGGCTGGGCAAAGCAGCTGTGTGCCCATTCAGCATGTGGTGCCTGATGGTCTCCAGGGGAAGACAGGAGGAGATTCACAGAGAGAAGGATGTTCCTAAATTGGTTCACAGTAATGCCGACCTCAACCTCCAAAATTGTTTTAAATTCTTCCCAAATCCCATTTAGATGCATTAAAGATCATCTGCAAGGTTCTGAAGCTAAGAGTTACATTTTCAAGCGCCTTCCTTGGATCAGCCCACAGCACTGGGGATGGGGGTCTCAGAAAGGAGCAGTTCCACACTGATGCACAGTGCTGATCTCCTCACACCATGCTTCATACTTCAGTGACAACAGCTTAACCCCAAGTAATAATGCCAGAAGCGTGAGGCAGGGCTGCAATTGGGCTCTGGGCATCTGCAGTGCCAGAGCATGGGGTTCCCATGCCATCAGCAAGCATGCACAGGCTACCCTGCCCTCCTCACCAGGTCAGGTTCTTCTCCACCACACTGCCAACACTACACATCACTTCTTGCCATCATCCACATCCTTGCTCCTAAGGGTGCAATTGTTTCTTCCCATGAAACAGAGACCAAGGCTGAAATTTGCTTTTCAGTTTAAGTAATAGTTGCTTTAAAAAAAAGAAAAAAGAAAAAAAAAAGCTGCACTCTGAGTTTGTTCATGTAAATCAATGGCATGCTAGCAGATGTACCATATATCCCCCAAAGTGCATGTGTCAGTGTATTTCTTTCTTCAGAGATCATTAATGGCTCATGACCAAGGTCAGGAGTCAAGTCTAAGACCTTGCTGCGGATATCAAGGAGAGCCTTTGCAGTGACACAGAGCACAACCTGCCTGGCTAATAGACTCGCAGGAACTCCATTCCCAGACCTCATCCATCCCCCAGCTTATAAATAATAAATTGCCATTTTAAAGCTGCTCTCTAGGAAGAACTTCCTGAGCCCTTTCCCACCCTTGGAGACTGTAAACATAGAGAAGGCTGAAACACACAGTGGATTAAAATCACTGCAATTAAAATTACTTCAACTCAAGAATAAAAGCAAAGCACAAACGCCAAAGTCTCCTGGACAAACAGAGGCTGTGACTGAGCCTTGACCAGCCCCCAGCAGGAAGGGCCCCCGATCACCACGGGGACAAGGCTGGCACCATGCTCCATACTGCTCCATACTCCCCATCTCCTCTGAGGCTCTGGAGCAGATGGTGGGCTGCGAGCACAAGGAAGCAGAGACTGGTGAAATGCTGCATGTAAATAAGGCTGCTAAACACTCTTGTTGTGACTCGGCAGCAGTCGGGGAAGGCTATTAAGGGGCTGCTGCAGGCGAACGGTTAGCCAGCAGTAATGAGCAGGCTACGAGTGACTGATTCCATGTCAAGGTTGGGCGGTATCGATCAGAGATGTACGGCTGCAGCCCTGCCACTTCAGAAAAGATGCGAGCTGATGGATCACCTGCAAGGCCCACATCCACACAGAAAGGCACGGGAGCACGGCGTCCTCAGGGAGCAGAGCAGCACCGTGACTTTGGAGCCATCCTAAGGTGCAGACTTCTGTTCCCAGAAGCAAATTAGGATACTCCTTTTGTTGCTGTTCCACGTGCATGTTTTCATCACTAATGTGTTTGGGACTAGAAGCAGAAAAGTGGGATAACAATTCCTCAAAGGGCTTTTTCTTCTTTAGCATGGCTAGAGCAGTATGGCAGTGTTCAAGGAGAGAGAGAAGCAGGAACAACATCCCTTTGGATCACATCACCCAGACTAGAAATGGACAGTTTGGGGCTGCAAAGGGTAGAGCGCACAGGGAAATCATCCTTTGGTTAAGAGGGGACGTCCCCACTCCTGGTGCTACCTGGATGGAACACCACATCCCAGCTCGGTTTGTACGGCCTGGGGGAGGAGGTACTGAGATGAAGGATCTGCCCTGGAACAGTTCTGAGAGCAGTCACCAGTGGTTATGGATTTCCCTGGGTGTCCTGTACCTCTCTGCTCTTTCATCCCTGCTTGGCTCACACCCTCATGGCTATAGATCTCCTGCACCACTCTGCTCTTCCATCCTTCCTTAGCTCACACCCTCGTACTGCCTGAAAAGACTAGCAACAGTCACAGCTCAAGCACTATTTAAAGGCTGCCTTGAGGACTAGAAGTTAATTTTAAAACTAACTGACCTAAGCTCTCTGCCATACTACCTCAGGAGGAGACTGGAAGGGTGGGAGCACTGCTAATGCCTGCCTAAAGAGCATGTGTTTTACCTCCCAGCTCTTATTTCTCATTATTAATGTCAAGGTTTTTTAACAAAATTTGTCTTGGTCAATTAACTCAGGCAGGGTTGCTTGTAACATTCCAAATAAAGCCAGCCACATCCTGCGCTCAGAAAGATGAGCGAGCAGCTCAGGAAGCAGGGGAATGACAAGGGCAAGGCATGACTCACAGCAGCACCAGGCCGAGGACGCCCAGGCACCAGCAGCTCCCACTTCCCCACACACTGAGGGTAGGACCTCCCGCTGTCAGGGAAGATGAAAAGCCTGTTTGGAAGAATATTTGCCCAACAGATTTATCACAATAAAAGCATGCTACAATTCACAAAGATGCTTGTGGCAAAATAAAAATAGAAGAGGAGTCTCCTTCTCACAGAAAGACGTTACTTATGCATCAAAATGCCTCCTTTGTATGCGCTGATTTGTACCAAATTCAATCACAACTCGAGTCAGACACGCTGTTGCCATTAGAGCAACCCAGCACCCCTGCATTTAGATAAGAATTGCACTGTGGAAAGGAGTGCTGATGCACACTTCTCACTAGTTACTCCTGCTCTGCCATGGGACCCTTCTACTCCTTGACTAGAAGATCACTGCTGTTTAATTGGAAGGCAGTGACCACCAGCATGTCTGGAACAGGCTGCCCAGAGAGGCTGTGCATGCCCCATCCCTGGGGCTGTTCAAGGCCAGGTTGGATGGGGCCCTGGGTTGGCAGCCGAGCACGTGGCAGGGGGGTTGGAGATTGGTGATCCTTGATGTCCCTTCCAACCTGAGCCATTCTATGATGATTCTATGTAACAAATACACAGGCACACCTGGATGAATCCCTCGCTGCTGAATAAGCCCAGTTCCCTTCCACACAGCCTTCTGGTGGGCCCCAACTGCAAAACACTGCTCCTATATCAGCACATCAAAACATCAGCCTCAAGAACTTCATATGCAAAAGAAAGGATTAGTTCCAGGGAAACGTGGTCAGTCTGAAATGGAGCTTTGACTAGTAGAATTACACCTCAACTGAAACAAACTCTCAAATTCAGCTCAACTTTAGGGTGCTCACAGAAGCTGCATTTTCACAGAAATAGAAGTGATTGCACAAATAGCGAGGAAGCATTTCCAAAAGCCACCATCTGAACTCCCCACTGTTCCTGAGGAACACACTCACAGTATACTTTTTGCCAGAGGAATTATAGCACATGTCATTTCCAACAAGAACACGCACAGGGCTCACCAGCACCTCAAGTTGGGAACACGGACAGCACAGGCACTCCCCAGCGGTGCCTGGAGCTAGCACTGCCTCCAGCCTCCCTGCAGGCCTTCCTCAGCACATCAGCTGCTAATGAAGAGCTGGTAATGAGCACTCCTGGGGGACGGGCCCACGGCTGCGTGGGCAGGCAGAGCTGGCTGCCCTGTCACCTGTGCTGCCAGATGCAGAGGGACAACTCCTGTGCGTCCACCGAAGTGCTGGGTCTCAGTGTGGCAGCTCTCTGCAGCCTGGCCATCTCTGTGATGCTTACCCCATGCCAAGAGCAAACCCACACACAACCGCATCAGCAAAACACATTGGTAAAAGGGCAGCTCCTATCTGCACCAGAAACACATGAAAGCTGCAGCTGATGATAACGAAATGCCAATCTCTGACCCAGAAGCATGGAAAGATTACGGCTTTGATTTACAATACAAACTAGAAAGTGAAGAAAAGCTAGACTGATTTCTAATCATTCATGGAGTTTTAAATTTGTTTGCCCTTCATTCAAAAACAAGGGAATCATACACAGCTGAGCTGCTGCTGGGCAGACCCGAAAGGTAAGCTGGAATACAGGCAATCTCACACCTGTTTTTAAGAAGGGTAGAGAGGACAATCCAGGCACTACTGACCTGTCAGCCTCTCCTCTGTGCTGGGCAGTATCATGGAGCAGATCCTCCTGGAAGCTATGCTGTGGCACATGAAAGGGGGGGACCTGCTATGAGACAACTATCAAGGGCAGGTCCTCCTTAGCAACACAGCGCCCTTCTATGATGGCATAACAACAGCCTCTGATGTCATCTACCTGGATTTCAGTAAGGCCTTTGACACAGTCTCCCACAGCACCCCTCTCTCAGAACTGGAAAGATGGATTTGATGCGTGGACTGTTCAGTGGACGAGGAACTGGCTGTGAGATTGTACCCAGAGAGTGGTGGTCAATGGCTCAGGGGCCGGGTGGAGATCAGTGATGAGTGGTGTCCCTCAGGGGTCAGCCCTGGCACCGGTGCTCTTTGATTTCTTCATCAATGACACTGGCAGTGGCACAGGGGGCACCCTCAGCAGTTTGCAGATGACACCGAGCTGTGTGGGGTGGTGGCACACCTGAGGGACAGACAAAGACAGCAAAGTTTCAGAGTGACCTTTCCATAGCAAATCCAGCTTTTGGCTGCCCCTGGCTAGCCAGCTCGTGGTAGCACAGACCATCACACTGGCCAACAGCAGCCAGACAGCTCCCTGCACTGTGCCTTGGGGCACAGCAACTCATCTCACAGACCCTAGTCAGAAAGTGAGCACAGCCCTCCCAACCCAGTGGTACAGACAAGAGCAGCCTCCCAGGCTAGCACAGGTTTCTCTGTGATGTCAAGAGCTGCAGATCAGAAACAGGATCGATACCACACTCTCTTGCAAAACCAGCTCTGCATTGAGGTTACTGAATTGACGCTGACTAGAAACAGAAGTAAACCTGACCCCATCGATTTTCATTTTCCAAGCAAAAGCAGAGAGTCGGGAGACTAGTGGTGCCAAGAGTGAAAGACTAATTTGGCAGCAGGGTTAATAATTATTTCATACTTAATATCCATGTTCTCGATCCCGCTGAGATTCAAGATTTCTCTGGGCCCGCATATTTGTGTAAAGTTTTGCATGCATTTAAATGACTGTGGGATCTAAGCCCAAGTTGTTACTAAGTACTAGGTAAGCAAATTTGCTTAATAGGATTTTTAATTTGCCATTATCCTTTTAAAATGTATTTGTTCTCTGCTAAATAGTAATAAATTAGCCTAACAGCAACCATTCGTATTTCTTTACCATCTTGGAAGCATCTCAATACGTTTTACCAACCACAGCAGCCCAGTGAGGCCAAATCAACTGACATGAGTAGGTGTCACAGGACCTGGTCAGAAGATGGGCTCTGTAGTGCAGAAAGCCTGAATTGCTCACTAACGTGTTCAGAAATGTATTTTTAATTCCAAACGTGAGGGGAGAGGTGCAGGAGCTGCACGACAAGAGTTTACCCTGATGATAGGAAGAAATCCTTCAGCAGATTTTTCTGCCCTGCCCACCTATCCTCTGCCCACCCTCACACCCCAGGAAACTGAGAAACACAGAACAAACCCAATCCTTTTAGAGACGCCAATGCAGCCTCACATACCTGAGCTTTGGCACATGGGGACTCAACCTGTTGCCTTCACTGTGCTCATAGCACAGCCCAGGCCTGCCGGTATCTGGCACTGGTTTCAACAGCCAAGGATCAACAGTGACTACAAACCTTTTACCCTGGGGTTTACCTGCTTCTCAGAGCTCCATCCTACCTCCCATTCCTTTCCCAGGCCCAGAAGGGTGTTAGCCTACAGGAGGCTGAAGAGGTGACAGACACCCAGCTCTGAACCCTCTCCATTTTGGCACTCCCTTGTTTCCCACAGCATGTATCACAACCCCATGCAATGCCCAGAGAGGCACAGGGGCTGGGCCAGGCTGAAGCAGGAAAGCCATGCTACTTCTCCTTCCAACAGCCACATCCCAGCCACATCACTCTTCCTTCTCTCCCCACCAAACCAAGCTGTTCATCAGAGTGTAGCAAAATGGTAATGAAGCACTTGGTGGAAATAGATTTTTTGTTCCGCCTGGTTGTGGACTGCTGGAGACAGGGGTCATTAGCTATGCATTACTAGCAAGCAGCCATTTCCTCATTAGCAGGCCGCTCGTCTTCTCCATCCACCTACATCATTGGTTCAAGGGAGTGTGCCCAGCCATTATAGCCCTCAGTAGAAGCTCAGCATAATTGGCCTAGGAGAAATACAGGTTAAGAGCACGAACAGCTCTGCAGCTAACACGGTTTTGCCAAGTCATGATTTTGTGAGTTCAGGGAATTGCCTGCCCTCAGATCCTGGAGTCTTAGGCACAGCACTTAACCTGCCTGCCTGGATCTGCTGAAGAAGATGGGCTGCTTCTAATCCTCACAGCTACAGGAGGAAAGAGCCGCTCCTCAAAGGGCTGCCAGCCAGATGGATAATGTTACACTTCCTTTTCTTTAATTCTTTGAGACACATCACCTGAGACACCAGCAAGCACATCTTGCAGCCTATTTCTAGTGCTGGAGACCCTGAAAACCCCAAAAGGGAAAGCAGCTCCAGGGGTTGCTCCCAGTGTGTGGCAGCTTGGGGCACTGTGCAATGGGTGCACATCCTCCTGGAGGTGTGGCAGCTCTGCAAAGAGCATCACAGAAAGGAAGAAGGAAAAGCCTTAGCCCTAAGTCAACTTGCAACATTCTGATAAAATTCCCTGCAAACTGCTTGAAGAAATTTAATTATTTACATGGACAAATGACAAGAGAGTTGTGCTTAAGGCCTTTTTGATAGCATCGTTCCTGCAGGCTTCCCTCTGCCCCCTGCAGTAGCAGATGTCTCACTCTCTGAATAGAGGCCAATACATAATACAGACCTTGCCTGTCTTACTAGTACAGAGAAAAAAACTTTCATCAAAGCACTGCTTTCCACCAAGAAAAATCAATTTTCATTTAAATCAAGACATTTCAGAAAATACTAATATCATGTAGACTGTTCAATCGTCATTCAATTTTTTAAAACGAAACAAAGCATTTTAAAATGCCTTGTTAAAAATGACTTTTCCAAACAAAATCATTGTTTTTGTGTTTCAAAATTACTGGCAAGCTGCAAAAGCTGAAATAGAAATGAAATGTTTAATTTTGGAAGAACATATGCTTCATCAGAATTTGTAACGTTCACTTCAAAGCTGAAGGAAGAACCGATGCTGCAGACCTTCTTGACAAGAGAGAAGCTCGCTTCTTTCCCAGCCCTAATGTTTATCGCTTCTGTTCAGCCTTAACAACATGCAGAAATACTTTTTGCTTCCCACGTGAAGGTGGAGTGTGGATTGCTGCTTAATCGCTGCTCTGCTCCACCCCAGAGGCAGCTGTGTCCCAGCCCTCTGCAAACCCTCTATTTCATGTGCGAAGGGCTCTGGCTCTCGAGCTGACAGCAGCACGGTGACAGCAGCCTCCTGCCACGGCTGGCCAGAGCAGCGAGCAATAGATCAACATTCCTGTCGCACTCGCTGTCACTTCCTGGCCGTTAGTGGGCAAAGTGATGGATCCGCCGGGACCGAATTAATTGAATCCCCATTCTACAGGCACTCTCCAGAGACAGAAGTTGGACAGAGCAATCCGTGTCTTTGGCACAGGAGCGTAGCTTTTGCTTTACAGTACCTGTTTCCCAGAATATGTTTAAAAGTGATTAGCAATTGGCACATAGCAAACTGACAGGAAGCTTTGTTACCTGTACCCAAATCTATGTGTAGCACATCTCCTCCGTTCTGTATTCACCAGGACTGGGAGAGACCAAGGAAAGGAGCACCGTGGGCGACCTGCCCTCCCAAACCAGTCCTGGGACAACCTCACAGATCCAGGGCCTGCGTCTGCATGCCAGGTCCTTTGGCTTCTCCCCTAACATTGCTGGAAAAGAACCAAAGGGTGATTAGTGCCTGTCTGCACGAGCAGGACCAAGGCATCCACCAGCCTCATAAGGGCCATGGCCTGGAGAAGGGAAATCTCTGCCAGAGCAGGTAAAAAAATCCACACTTGATTCAATGTAAGCCATTCCAACTTGGAGGAAGGAGCAAAGGGTTTGCTGTTCCTGTCCCACCGATCACCAGAGCGAATGGGCTTTTTGCAAAGAAACGCATGTGGAAAAGGGAGCACTTAAAATGGAATGTACAAGAGAAGTGCCCTTCTGCTGGGAGCTCTGTGCTCGGAGCAAGCCTCCCTTCCGAGCAGCACATGTGAAGGCATGGGGACTCACACGGCTCAGCAGCAGCAGCAGAGGTCCCTGGAATGCATGGACGTTAGGCATACTCCCTGGGGACAAACAGCTTCTGAGTCATTTCATAGCCTTTAAACGTGGGTTTGGGCACTAGGTAATGAAGAGATGCAGAAAAAAAGCCTTGAAAATATTGAGTTTTTCATCTTTTACCAAGGTGGTGTGGGAAGGGGTGGGATCATGTGTCTCGGTGGTAGAGCAATTCATAAGGCCCACAAGCTTGCCTGAAAGGAGGCAAGGCAGTCCTAGAGAGATCAATCACAATTTTATCTACCCTTTTCAAGTTCTCATTTCTTTTTATCCCATACCGCCAGATAAAATCTCTGCCTCAAACATGGGTAAGGAGATAGAGCTTCATTATATTATTCCAAAAACATTAGATGCTGTAGGCTTTGCCCTTTTATGAGTTCACTTTGCTGGCACTCCCCTCTCTGCCCCCCCCAGATCTCTTCCCTTTAATATTTTTTTTCTCTCCAAGCCAGAACAACAGGCACAAAACTAATTATGTGATATTTCAGATCCATGTTGTGTTAATGGCACCAGATCGCGTGTGACATTTCCGACTTGTTAGACTATTATTCTCGCTTATTGTTATCTCTGCTGCTCTGAATACAGGCTCAGGGCTTTATATCCCCCCCATGCACCAGGCTCCCACCCCTTTTTCCCTCTCTTGTTCTCATTTATCAGCCCAGGAGGATCTGTGGAATATTAAACTGGGCCATGCTGGATTGCCCTGCTCGTTGTGGGCACAGGTGGAAGGAAAGGTAGAAATGGAGGAGCAGACAATGACAGACAAAAACAAATGTGGACAGGGGTTTGTGGGAAAGAGCCACAATAGCAGAAGCCTGCCTGGGGACAACTGACTTCAGGTGGAGTCGTATCAGGCTGTGAGATAGCGCCCATCTCTCAGGTGTCCTTCCAGTGAGGAACAGCATCGTCACCTGGCTTGTATTCCCCAGGGACAGATGGGATGCCATGAAGGACCCTTCTGATGTAACTTCATCTCCCAGATACCTTGCTTGAAATACAGAATCGTTGCTTCTGCCTACCTGTGGGACTGTGAAGGCAGTGTACCTCTACATCTTGAGCTCCTGGGCTACTAGAGGAGGTGATAACAGGGAAAAACACATCACTGTCTTTAACAGAAGACATGCTGGTGAATTACATCACATCTATGGCTTCTGTTGCTGATCATAAAGCCAAAGAAATGTCCTTTAACACTAGGTTTAGTAATCTAGGTTTAGTGATGAAGGCTGATGTCAGAAAGCACAACAACCCAGCAAACATCAACTACTTTGTAGCTGCAACACAGGGCAGAACAAACTGCAGGATTTAAGGAAAGAGCCTCCTGCCACCATATTCCTCTCAGGCAAATATCTGCAATGCTGCCTCGGGGGACAGAGCTTCCTGCAGGAGTATTGATGCACAGCTGCTGTCCCTTCAGGCCTAGTTCATGGTCCCAGGGGGCAGAGGAACACAACATCACGTTGGGTAGCTTTAGCTGCTACTTCATCTGCCCGAAGAGCACTGATATTCCTAGGACTGCTGAAGGTATTGGCCCAAATGCTGCCATCGTTTTGTTTCACTTCCTGAACGATTGTGCTCCTGGGTCTCTTTAGTCATACAAATATAGCAGCTGATTTGTCTCCACACAGCACTCAGCGAGATGGAGGGTGCCAAGTTCCTCCCGCTGATATAGGCTGTGCAATCATTCCAGCACAGAAGCTATAGAGAAAAAAAAAGACTGAGAGGGTCCTCCTGACTCTGCTCCTGCTTACTGAGGCTTCCCAGCCTGACACAAACCACTCCTCCCTCTCCATCCAGATTCCCTCACTCCCTTCCAACTTCATCCCATTCCTGCTCCCTGTTGCCACAGCCCCACTCTGCTAGTGATCAGCACTCCAGAGGATGCCTGCCTGCCGGGCTCTGAATCTCCTTTTATTCTGAGAGCATCACGGGAGAGATCTATATTGGTAACTAAAACAGGACCAAGGCGCTGGCTTCAGGCACCGTGTCATGGTCATCCAAGACATTTAACTGCCCACATGCTCCCTGGCCCACAGCAGCCACCAGTCTCCCAGACAGCCTTGGACACAGTTCAGGGGATGGCATGAGCCAGGGGCTGTCAGCAGTGAACTGCATGAGAGATGCCAAAGTTTAGTTGTATCAGCACAAACCACACCACACCACTCCCCGTCAGGACCAGAGGATGGATGCTGGCTTGTTATATTTACTAGAACAGATACAACCTCGGTACAAATGAGTGTTGGAGAGGACTCCCTGTCAGGAATATAATCTCCAGTTTTGTTCCTCTAGGGCTCAATCCAGTAAGTGCTTGCAATCAGGCACTGTACCCTCCATGCCAAGGAGCTGGGAGAAAGCTGCAATATCAAAACCCAAACATTCTGGGTAAATCGCCTCGTGCATCTCTGAGCCTCTGTCTTGCTTTATTCCTCATCCAACTCTGATGCCATCAGGAGGGCTGAAAGTCTCACCAGCTACCCACAACAACAGCCCTTATGATGAAAATCTGGAGGCCACAGATGCAGGCAGGGCTTTGTGAGTTCCCAGACAGGACTGGGTTGTCTGTACGAGTCTGTGGGCTGTCGCTTATTTAACAGACGCACAAAGAGACCTGAAATAAACTTCAGCTGGGAATAGGCTGCTTCCAGGAGCATCTGCAGGGATCTGCTGCAGGGAACAGTCTGATGGGATCTGCTCCAGGAAACAGTGCCGTGCCACTGCAGCGTGCCTGTGGACCCCAGGCAAGTGAGGACAGCACATGGGGCCTCTATGCAACAGCTGCTGTCTGGAGACACTTGGGCCACCCTTCAGATCTGTAACGGACTCAAGCAAGTCTCTGAGCAGCTCCAGGTTCAGATCCCATTTCTGTGGGCTCTCAGTCACTTTCTTGAAGAGGGGAAATCAAAAGGAGACATCTTACCAAGGAAAAGGGCAAGTTACCTTGGCTGCACTTGCAGCCCTCTTGCTGTGGGATCTGTCTCTCCTGCTTCAGCCCAACGCACTATGAACCAGGGCTCATAAGCACCCCCTGCCCAAGCACGTGCCTCTGCTCCTTGCCTGCTCCCAGCCCACCCCGTGCCTTCCCCCAGTCCCACATCACCACTTTTCCCTGGATCAGCAGCAGCAGCTGCAGCACAATATGCTCCACAGCTTGCTAAGGGGGATGGGAGGAGGAACAGCAAGATATAAATAAATAAAATAAAATATGTCTGGCTTAATCCTTTTATCACTGTACTTCTTTCAGTCGTTTACAGAGATAATAATCGCCCAGGCTCTGCAGGAAGCACTGACGGAAGCAAGCATAGAAATCCAGTGGCAGCACCCCGCTCTCTCATCTGCTGTCACCGGGGTGTGAGGCCAGACAACAAAGTGGGAGCGAGGCCAGACCAGCAGCTAGCCCAGCATGGCACTGGGAGGGAGCGGGTCGGCAGCAGCAGCACCAGGGAGAAATGGAGAGGGGGCAGAGCAAGAGGAAAGCACTTCTGCAGAAGTGCAGAGAGAGGAAGAAACATAAAGTGGCACAACAGTAACGAGGAACAGAGAGAGAGAGGGAAGAAACAATACGGCAAAAAGCAAAGCCAGCACATGCATCAGGAAATTTAAAGCCTGTCAGCAAAATGCTGCTTTCATTGCGGACAAGGAGAAGATAAATGAGAGCCAGAGGTGCCACTGCTGGTCTGTGCCTGAGTCTTTAAG